TAGTCGTCATGGCCTAGTTGTTTGGTCTTGGATAGTCGTCTTGGCCTAGCTGTTTGGTCTTGGATAGTCGTCATGGCCTAGTTGTTTGGTCTTGGATAGTCGTCTTGGCCTAGTTGTTTGGTCTTGGATAGTCGTCATGGCCTAGTTGTTTGGTCTTGGATAGTCGTCATGGCCTAGTTGTTTGGTCTTGGATAGTTGTCATGGCCTAGTTGTTTGGTCTTGGATAGTTGTCATGGCCTAGTTGTTTGGTCTTAGTTGTCATGGCCTAATTGTTTGGTCTTGGATAGTTGTCATGGCCTAGTTGTTTGGTCTTGGATAGTTGTCATGGCCTAGTTGTTTGGTCTTGGATAGTCGTCATGGCCTAGTTGTTTGGGCTTGGATAGTCATCATGGCGTAGTTGTTTGGTCTTGGATAGTCGTCTTGGCCTAGTTGTTTGGTCTTGGATAGTCGTCTTGGCCTAGTTGTTTGGTCTTGGATAGTCGTCATGGCCTAGCTGTTTGGTCTTGGATAGTCGTCATGGCCTAGTTGTTTGGTCTTGGATAGTCGTCTTGGCCTAGTTGTTTGGTCTTGGATAGTCGTCATGGCCTAGTTGTTTGGTCTTGGATAGTCGTCTTGGCCTAGCTGTTTGGTCTTGGATAGTCGTCATGGCCTAGTTGTTTGGTCTTGGATAGTCGTCTTGGCCTAGTTGTTTGGTCTTGGATAGTCGTCATGGCCTAGTTGTTTGGTCTTGGATAGTCGTCATGGCCTAGTTGTTTGGTCTTGGATAGTTGTCATGGCCTAGTTGTTTGGTCTTGGATAGTTGTCATGGCCTAGTTGTTTGGTCTTAGTTGTCATGGCCTAATTGTTTGGTCTTGGATAGTTGTCATGGCCTAGTTGTTTGGTCTTGGATAGTTGTCATGGCCTAGTTGTTTGGTCTTGGATAGTTGTCATGGCCTAGTTGTTTGGATGCTGGGGGAGCCATTATTTTGATATTCAGAATTTGATCAGTATCCGTTCTTTTTTCTACTCAGAATTGTTGATGATGGCTGTATGCATAAGAGAAAACACATATTTATTGCCGTGGATGGAGCATGTGTCACACCCTGGCTCTGGGACTCTATATGTTGAGCCAGGGTGTGTTCTTTCTGTTGTGTTTATTTCTATGTTGGCCAGTGTGACTCCCAATCAGAGGCAACGAGTGTCAGCTGTCGTTGGTTGTCTCTGATTGGGAGCCATAATTAAACTGTCTGTTTTCCCTTTGTGTTTGTGAGTTCTTGTTCCGTGTTGGTCATTGTTACCGTGGACTTCACGAGTCGTTTCTTGTTTTGTTTATTGTTGTCTATTATCACTAAAGATAATAAAGTTTAAACATGTTCGTTCATCACGCTGCGCCTTGGTCTATTCCCTACGACGATCGTGACAGCATGAGAGAGATGGAAGTAGGTTGATTCAGCTCTCTCTCTCTCTCTCTCTCTCTCCCTCAGCGTCAAACTTTTCCTTGGTACAGATTATCCGAAGGGACACATCTAGGATAGAGACAAACCACTGGTCCATGCCCATGGCTCTGTGCAGGGTCAGGAGAAGGAAAATACTACTGGCTCCTCTTCATACGTTGGCTACTACTCATATATTGTTTTCTTCAAAATGGAAACATTCAGTCATTCATTTATTCATAAATTGCCATTAGTCATGTTTGTCCATTTTCCTATTAGTCTTTTTTTTTCTTCTGGACTCTTGTTCAAGATGCCTCAGCAAGTCAGGTCATTGAGGTCAAGCCATGCTGAGGGGTGTGTGTGTGTGTGTCTGCCTGTGTCTCAGGCACAGGAAAACCATCCTAAAAACTTCAATAGGTCTCATTGTACAAACTGTATATTGCATACAGAACAATAACTGAGCAAAAATAGAATGTAAATGTAAATGTCAAATTATTTCAAACCGTTCTAAGAATGTCAAAAACATACATTGCAAACTATGGAAATAAGATTCAGTGTCAATAGGACTTTTCTATAGCTCAGGAACAGACAGACAAGCTTTCTCGCTCATGACAGTGCTCCAAACCCTGGAGGCCACGGCCACTAATCTGAAGAGCGCTTGTGATTTTTCTGATTGGTCGCATATGGACCAATCCCTGAAGCTGTTAGGGGCACTATTTATACAGTTTGGGCGGCTCACAAGGCAGCGCTCTTGTTGTTTGGATTACGTAATCCGCACTGCACGTGTTTCACAATGCGCAGAGCAGGAGGGACAATAAAGAACAGAGATAGAAAAGTCGTGTGTAGTTGTAGAATGAAGTTCTGCAGAGAAACATGCAGGAAATATTTGATCATGCCTTTGTTATTACAACGTTTCTAGGTATTTTGCTAAATCTGATTTGTTTAATAAAATGATTTATTTCTGTAGTCTAAATATTTTCATTGGCCAGCCAAGCCAATAGTTTTTCTTTCTTTCTTTCTTTGATAAACGTCAACAAACAAACAGCTAAAAGCCTACAAAGTCATGCATGTTTGTGCTAGGGTCTTCATGTGGAAACGCATTCTAATTGACTCAAGACTCAGGACAACGATACTATAAAACCCCTTACAATTAGCTAGTGCATGCACAAGTAAACACACCACTGCTGCACGTGTTGTAACACAGGCTGCTAGTAAGCCTGCTGCCTGCCTGCCAATGTGAGGTAAACTAATCCAATCATAGCAGGTACATTCAGCACTTCCCCTCTTATGATAACAATATGCTGACATGTAATCTATACCTATGACAGCTGAATTATTCTAGGACATAGGCACACACGTGTCTAGAAACCTGTTGTGGATCACACCAGTACTGTTGAATAACTTGTTAACCTTTCAAAATAAAACTTCACCAAAACACTTTGTGGAGTGTGTCCTGTCTACAGAATTCTCTTTGTAGCCAAGCGGTGAAGAGGTGTGCTCATGTTGTGACTGCACAGATGGATTGTTTATGGCAGGGTTTCCCAAACTAGATTTGGTATCACTTATAGTTGTTGAAATAATTGTTTTGAACACACATCGGCACAACGATCTCTTTGTTGGGGCATTGTGTACTGAAGTTGTCATAGGACGTGAGAAGACAAGAGGATTATCTAGTGGTCATTTGGTAGTACTGCAGATGTTTCTGATTTCACCGTTTCATTCCGGTCACTCCTGCTACTGTTGAGGAAGTGAACTGCAGTCTACAGTGTAGGGTGCAGTTGCCCCTAGACGCTGATCTTGGATCAGTGTTGCATTTCCCCTACTAATGGTTAAGGTTGAGATTGGGGAAGGAGAAGCTGATCCTAGATCTGTACCTAGGGTGAATTTGCCTGGAACGCTTACATACAGTGTGACATGAAGTAGGTCACAAACATCTTCTTACTGGAATTTATTTAGTTACAAAAAAACTGAAACAAACCTAGAAAAAATGATGAGAACAATGACAAAGGCTGGATAATAACAAGAAAATAAAAAACAACAACCATCCACAGTTGGGTATGGGTTTGGAAGTGCCATATGGTGAGAAGAAGGCATAGACCCTGGGCTGTTTCAATGACTGTCCAAAATAGCACCCTATTCCCTATTTAGTGCACTCTTTTTGAGAATGGACCATATAGGGAATACTGTGCCATTTGGGACGCACATAATGTGAATGTATATACAGTACCAGTCACAAGTTGACACACCTACTCATTCAAGGGTTTGTGGCGGGCAGGTCATCTGATGCAGCACTCCATCACTCTCCTTGGTCAGATAGCCCTTACACAGCCTGGAGGTGTGTTTTGGGTCATTGTCCTGTTGAAAAACAAATGATAGTCCCACTAAGCACAAACCAGATGGGATGGCATATCGCTGCAGAATGCTGTGGTAGCCATGCTGGTTAAGTGTGCCTTGAATTCTAAATAAATCACAGACAGTGTCACCAGCAAAGCACCCCCACACCATCACACCTCCTCCTCCATGCTTCATGGTGGGAACCACACATGCAGAGATCATCCGTTCACCTACTCTGCATCTCACAAAGACACGTGTTTGGAACCAAAAATCTCAAATTTGGACTCATCAGACCAAAGGACAGATTTCCACCGGTCTAATGTCCATTGCTTGTGTTTCTTGGCCCAAGCTTGTCTCTTCTTCTTATTGGTGTCCTTTAGTAGTGGTTTCTTTGCAGCAATTCGACCATGAAGGCCTGATTCACGCAGTCTCCTTTGAACAGTTAATGTTGAGATGTGTCTGTTCCTTGAACTCTGTGAAGCATTTATTTGGGCTGCAATCTGAGGTGCAGTTAACTCTAATTAACTTATCCTCTGCAGCAGAGGTAACTCTGGGTCTTCCATTCCTGTGGTGGTCTTCATGAGAGCCAGTTTCATCATAGCACTTGATGGTTTTTGCGACTGCACTTGAAGAAACTTTCAAAGTTCTTGAAACTTTCCATATTGACTGATCTTCATGTCTTAAAGTAATGATGGACTGTCGTTTCTATTTGCTTATTTCAACCGTTCTTGCCATAATATGGACTTGGTCTTTTACCAAATAGGGCTATCTTCTGTATACCTACCTTGTCACAACACAACTGATTGGCTCAAACGCATTAAGAAGGAAATAAATTCCACAAATCAACATGAATTGAAATGCATTCCAGGTGACTACCTCATGAAGCTGGTTGAGAGAATGCCAAGAGTGTGCAAAGCTGTCATCAAGGCAAAGGGTGGCTACTTTGAAGAATCTAAAATCTAAAATATATTTTGATTTGTTTAACACTCTTTTGGTTACTACATGATTCCATGTGTTATTTTATAGTTTTGATGTCTTCACTATTATTATACAATGTAGAAAATAGTAAAAATAAAGAAAACCCTGGAATGAGTAGGTGTGTCCAAACTTTTGGACTAGTACTGTACATCAAGTTGATTACAAAAGTGCACAGTAATCATTCAGAAGGTCATGTTTCTCTATTCTCATTATGTGCTTTTGATAACTGAGATTGACATTATACCTCAATAAATTAAACATGTCTATATATGATCATTACAGACCTATGCAGTAATGAATGAAAATAATATTATTGTTGTTCATATGTCAAATCTACCCTCAGAGATTGTTGATGTACTGGGTCCTGTATTCTAGCCTTCATGCCAACTCTCTGTTACTCATTGTCATGACAAACATTTGGCTTCACAATGACAGCAATTAAAGGTTCGGGATTTTGGCAATGAAGCCCTTTATCTACTTCCCCTGAGTCCAATAAACTCATGGATACAATTTGCATGTCTCTGTATCCGGTATGAAGGAAGTTAGAGGTAGTTTTGTGAGCCAATGCTAACTAGCGTTAGCACAATAACTGGAAGTCTATGGTATCTACAAGCATGCTAGCAGTTATCATAGACTTCCAGTCATGGTGCTAACGCACGCAGAGAAATAAAAATGGTTCCACAAGTTCATCTGACCCTGGGAAATAGATAAAGGGCTTCATTGCCAAAATCCTGAAGTATCCCTTTAAGTTGGCAAGATCACAGATCTGGGACCAAGTCCTGGTCAGTATTTAATTTACCCCGTCTTGTTAATTGGATTGACCCAATAACAGCTGCATGACTGTCTATAAATTAGATTACATTAGTTAACATTTCTACAAAATCAATCCACTCGTTAGCTTGTACCCCCTGTATATAGCCTCGTTACTGTTATTTTATTGTGATACTTTAGTTTATTTAGTAAATATTTTTCTTAACTCTTATTTTTTTTAAACTGCATTGTTGGTCAAGGGCTCGTCTGTAAGCATTTCCCAGTAAGGTCTACACCTTGTTGTATACGGTGCATGTGACAGATAACATTTGATTTGATGTAATTGAGGCTTCATCAGCACTTCATCATGATAACAAGCATTGAAGTCATCAAAGCAGTAGGATGTAGTCTACTAGGCTATTGTTACAAGGGTCTTCTTTACAGCTCATTCATAGGCCCCGTACACACTCAGGTTGTACAACTGATGTACAACGCATTTGACACAATGGATGTGATACAACTGATATTTTTGTGATACAACAGAGAGTTTGTCTGCACAACAAATGTGTACACAACTATTGTGTGTGCAGTGTGTCCACAAGGCTTTTGTAATTATTTTTGTGCAGAAAAACTCTTAAGTTGTATCACAACCATTGTGCCAAATCATCTGTTGAACCGAAGTGTGTACAGGGCCATAGTAGCGGTTAGTGGTGGCCAGTGGATGGTCACTCACAGGACCACTTGAGCAGGGAAACATGAGGAGCAGGGAAAACAGTCACAGTGTGTGTCTGAAATGGCACCTTATTCCCTATATAGTGCACTACATTTGACCAGGGCCAGGTCAAAAGTAGTGCACTTTATAGAACTTGGGCGCCATTTCAGACAATGTCACAGACAGAAGAGTAATCTTTGGGGTCTGTGATGGTGAGGTATTCAATCCTCTTGTCTTGGGGCATCATCCATCCTACTAGTGATCAGCACGAGGAAAAGCTAGGTCTCTGGGTTCAATGTACAGCCAGTGTGGAGATCACGGTCAGAGGTCAGGGGCCAGAGGACATTTGAGGGGCTCAAGGCCCCAGGGTTAGACTAGGCTGTGGGCCAATCAGGAGCACGAAGGTGGAGACTGGAGAGTCCCGCTTTGTCCAGTCCAGTCCATCCAGTCCACATTCTCAGGGTGAGCTAGTCAGGGCAGTGCTGGTGTTGGGACGTCCTGGGTCATGTTCATTAGGCACCAAACTGAAGAAAACAGGAAGGGACTCATTTTGGTTTTCCATTGCATGCCCTAATGAACATGACCCATGACCCTGGAGAAGTTTAGGCCTTTAGGCCCTCAGTGCCTGCGGGTGCGCTGGCCTCCGGTGCCCGCGGTGTAGAGCATGGGCTGGCGCAGCTGAGACACACGCTTCAGGTTGCTCAAGTGGACTGGGGAGGACTCTGTGATGGGGCCTGTAAAAAGCATGAGTCAAAAACTGTATACAGAGACCTGTTTAAGAACAGTGTGTTGATATATGTAATTAGCTCCACTGTGAGGAGATGGGCAATGAATCCAGTTTGTCCTGATGGTAGTGCAGTGGGTGACATAAGGTTTGAACCCCACCATGGCTTCATGCAGTAATATTATTTTAAATGTGGAGGTGTGGGTGAAAGGAGGCTGACCTGTTTGGTGGTTGTTGTGGGGCAGCCGAACTTTGGTGAGAGGAGGGACCCCCCTGTGAAGGGGACGTAACAGGGGGGCATGGGGCTGCCCGTTGATGTGGGGGTCTGACGTGCTGTCCAGTGGGTGGAAACGTTGGGCTGCCTTGGTCTTAGACTGAGACAGCTGAGCAGGGGGAGGGAAGAAGTAGTGTGTTAAGGCTGATATCGTGTAGGCTATGTACTGTAACGTTGTCTCCGGCTGGAACCGCTTTATATGTCTATGTAATTGTCAAATCGATCAATCACAGCTGCTGATGACTCTACTAACATACAGTACTGAATCATCAGATACTACTCAGGGAGCTAGATAATGAACACTACTCACTGCTTGACCTGTGACCTCGAACGAGCGGGAGCGTCTCTTCCGGCGGCGAGCCTCGAAGTCCTGCTCGCAGAGGGTGGGGTTTGGGTTCTTGGGGGCGGGCTGGCGATTACGTGGACGTGTCCAGGTGCCCTGGGAGACAGGCCCCTCCCCCGTGCTGCTGGATAGGTTTTCATCTGAGGTGGCGTGGCGGGGCTCAGGGCTGGGCTGCTGGCCACGGAGCAGGGCCAGGCCCCTAGGGGGCGCCTCACTCAGAGACAGGCTGCTCTTGTGCTTCTTGGGGTCCAGGGTGGAGGGAGGAGGGGGCAGCTGCAGGGCGTCCACTTCCAGGGCTTTGGAGCGGCGGCGAGCTGCCTTCACTGCAATGTTGTGAACCCTTTTGAGGATCTGCTGCCTCTCTGTTCAATCAAGGGAGACATTTGATTAGTAGGAGATTGAGACAGAGGCTCTAGTACACCAACATCCTGATCTAAGATAAGATAATAAAATGTAAACGTTATTGTCCCCAATCGTCCCTGTCTATATTCTGTAATACATGACTTTGTGGTCCGTGCCCACATCTACCCACAGTTCTCCCTCTCCCGTATCTCTTCTGTCTGCTGTTGCCCCTGGAGTTCTCTTACCCTTGCATGTGAAGGGGACGTCCTGGCCCGTCTCACTGCACTCAGGGGAGGAGTCCAGGTGACTGCTCACACTGTGGCTGAGGTGGCTGTAGTTCAGAGTTGTCTCTGGTGCCAATGGCTGCAGCTGGAGAGGACAGAGGAGAGGGGACATGTGCCATTATACTCACTTTCATAGGGGAGTATGCACATATGAAGCCTGGTAGAAATCTAGTCCTGAAATGGCTGTAGCCTCCATTACTATGGTGTCTCCACAGGTGTAATGGCAGCAGCTGCATCAGGCCTGGTAGATATTCACAGTGTGGATGGTACTGTGTTCTCACCTCTCTGTTCCCCTGGCCGTTGCTGTGGATGGGAGGAGGGGTCAACACAGCAGAATGTTTCATCTGTCTGGAATGGGGTCTGCTGTTAAACACACAGTTGTCTCTGTGAGAGGGAGGGAGGGAGGGAGACAGAGCAAGTGGGAGAAAGATCGACAGAGAGAAAGATCGTCAGTTAGACTAATGTCCTTCCTAAGAAGGATAAGAGGGAGGGTTACTTCTTCCTAAACCAACCACCACCCTCTTATTCTCCCACCCTCTCACTCTACCAACCATCACCCTCTCACTCTCCCACCCTCTTACTCTCCCACCCTCTCACTCTACCAACCATCACCCTCTCACTCTCCCACCCTCTCACTCTCCCAACCACCACCCTCTCACTCTCCCACCCACCACCCTCTCACTCTCCCACCCTCCTCTCCCACCCTCTCACTCTCCCAACCACCACCCTCCACCTCCTCCACACCCTCTACTCTCCCACTACCCTCTCACTCTCCCAACCACCACCCTCCACTCTTCCCACCTTCTCCACTCTCCCAACCACCACCTCTCACTCTCACCACCCTCTACTCTCCCAACCACTCTCACTCTCCACCCTCTACCCACCACCCCTCTCACTCTCCCAACCACCACCCTCTCACTCCTCCCACCCTCTCACTCTCCCAACCACCACCCTCTCACTCTCCCACCCTCTTACTCTCCCACCCTCTCACTCTCCCAACCACCACCCTCTCACTCTCCCACCTTCTCCCCCCCCCCCCCCCCCCCCCCCCCCCCCCCCCCCCCCCCCCCCCCCCCCAAAAAAAAAAAAAAAAAAAAAAAAAAAAAAAAAAAAAAAAAAAAAAAAAAAAAAAAAAAAAAAAACATCCCTCAAACCCAAAAATCCCTCCCCCGTTCTTTCCCCTAAAAACAAATTTAGAAACTATTCCCTCCCCCAGTTGGTTTTCACCCCCAACACTTTCTACCCAAACTCCCAAAAAGGCTTTCAACTCAACAAGGGTTAAATTTCACCCAACAAAAACGGGGAAAAATATATTAATAAAAAAACCCCCGGTTAAAATCTATTCCCCAACTCAACAGGGAAAATTTAAAAAAAAAAAAATTTTTCACAACCTCAAACCCCCAACCGTTAAAAATCTTTCCACAAAACCAGGTTAAATACTTTTTCCCCAAAACCATTAAAAACTATTCACACTAACAAACACGGGTTAGAATCCCTTACCTCCAACACGGGTTAAAATACTTTAAAAACCAAACAACAAGGTTAAAACATTCACCTACAAACAACAAAGGAATACTTTTCCCCAACTAAAAAAACCCATTAAATCTATTACACTAAAACACAACACGGTTTAAAAACATAAAACCAAAACAAAAAGGTTAAAAAATTTTCACCTACAACACATTTTTAAAATTTTCACATTTCCCAACAAAACGGTTAGAAACTTTTTCAATAAAACCAAACACTTTTAAATACTATTCCCTAAAAACACCGGTTAGAATAATTCACCACAAACAAAAATTTAAATACATTCACACTCAACACAAACCGGGTTATATATTCACACCCCCAAACAAAACCGGGGTTAAATCCCTTCACACTACAAAAACACGGGTTAAATACTTTTCCCCAACTAAAAACCCAAAAAGGTTAAAAATACTATTAAACCAAAAAACCATTTAAATATTTTTTCACACTCCCCCCCGTTAAAATCTTTAAAAAAAATTTTAAAAACCCCCAAAACAAAAGGTGAATCATTCAAAAAACCCAAACACAATTAGAATACTATTAAAAACCCACAAAAACAGGTTAGAATACTTTTCCCCACAACACAACACAGGTTAGAATTATTCCATACCACCACTTAGAATACTTTTCACACTACAAAACAGTTAAAATACTATTCCCACAACAAAACGGGTTAAATATATCACCTACCCCCCCAAAAAGGTTGAAACTATCCACTAAAACACGGTTAGTACTTTTCACACTACAAAAAATTAAAATACTTTCACACCCCAACAAACCCTTAGAATACTTTTCACACCCACCAAAAAACCATTAAAAACTAACCAAAAAAACACATTAAAAATATTCAACTACAACACAAAAAAGGTTAGAATTATTCACACAAAACAAAACACGGGTTAAAAATCTATTCCCTACAAACAACACAGGTTAGAATACATTCCATAAAACCGTTGGAAACTTTTCAAAACCCCAAACACAGTTGAATCTTTTCACCCCCACACACACAGGTTAAATAACCTCCACAAAAACCAGGTTAAAATACTATTCACCAAACACAACACAGTTAGAAAACTTTTCACTCCAACACAACAATTTAGAATACTTTTCACCTCCAACACAACACAGTTAAAACTTTCACACTACAAAAAAACGGGTTAAAAACTTTCCACACAACCAAAAAGGGTTAGAATACTATTCACTAAAAAACACGGGTTAAAATATTTCACACACACCAAACCCCAGGTTAAATATTTTTCCACTAAACCCGGTTTGAATCATTCACCTACAAACTTTAGAATACTTTTCCCCAAAACACAACCATTTAAATACTTTCAAACTCAAACAAACATTAAAAAAAAAAAAAATATATTCCACTACAACAAATTAGAAACATTCCCCCAAACAAAAAAAAGGTTTAAAAAACCCCCCTTAATTTCCACTAAAAACAGTTAAAATCTTTTCCACCAAACCAAAAAAACCCACACAACAAAAAAGGGTTAATATATTCACACTCAAACAACACAGGTTAGAAAAATATTCCACTAAAAACACAGGTTAGAATAATTCACCTAAAAAACCCAATTAGAATCTTTTCACATAAAAAAAACACAGGTTAATACTATTCCCCACAACCAAACGGGTTAGAAACTATTCAAAAAAACACTTTAAAACAACACACCCAGTTAAAATACTATTAAAACCTCCAAACATTGAAATACTTTCCCTAAAAAAAAACCCCGGTTAAATATATTCACACTACAACAAACACATAAAACTATTCATTTTTCAAAACAACAAAACCCAAAATTTTGAATACTTTTCACACTAAACCAAAAAAAGGGTTAAAATACTATTAAACCACAAACAACCGGGTAAAATACTATTCAATAAAACAAACACAGTTAAAACTTTTCAACTACAACAAAAAAGGTTGAAAATATTCACCCAAAACCAGGTTAAAATCTTTTCCCACAAAAAAACAAAATAAACAACACGGGGAAAAAATTCCACTCAACAAACACATTGAATACTTTCCCCACACCAAAATTTAAACATTCACACTACAACAACACAGGTTAAAATTTTCCCCAAACTAAAACACAAACGTAAAATACTTTCACCTACACAAAAATTTTGAAAACTACACCCCACAACCCCCCGGTTAGAATACATTCACACTACAAAAAAAAACAACAAAAAAAAATTTTTGAATACTATTCACTAAACACAGGTTAGAATATATTCCACTACAACCAAAAATTTAAAAAAATTTAAAACTCCCCCCAAACACAGTTGAATACTATTCAAACCCAAACACAAACCCCCCCCCCAAAAGGGTTAGAATACATTCACACTACAACACACAAAAGGTTGGAAAATTTTCACTCCCACAAAACACAACCAAAAAAAGTTAAAAAATCTTCACCTCAACACAAAAAGGGTTAATACTTTTCAACTAAACCCAAAAATAAAATATATCACCTACAAAACAACCGGGTTAAAAAAATATTCACACAAAACCCAAAACAAAATTAGAATACTATTCCCCAACAAAAAACAGATTGAACCCCTTTTCCACTCCCAAAAACACATTAAAAATACTATCACACTAAACCCAAAAGGGTTAATACTATTCCCCTAAAAACACAAAAAGGGTTAAAATTTAAATTCAACTACAAACAAGTTGAATACTATTAACTACAACACATTTGAATACCCCCCAAAAAAAACAAACACAGTTAGAATACTTTTCACACACAAAAACCAAACACGGGTTAGAATACTTTTCCACAAAAACACGGGTTAAATACATTCAAACTACAAAACACGGTTAGAAACTATTCACACTCAACCAACAGGAATACTTTTCCCCAAACTCACACAAACGGGTAAATTTTTACATCCAAAAAAAACACCCACCACAACACGGGTTGAATTTTTCACCTACAACAAACAAGGAACTTTCACACAAAACCCAAAACAAAAATACTATTCACACACAACAAAACACATTTTAGAAACTTTTCACCTACAACCAACACAGGTTAGATCCTTTCCACCTAAACCAGGTTAAAATACTTTTCACACAAACAACACGGGTTAGAATCTATTCCACTAAAACCAACACGGGTTTTAGAATATTTTTCCCACCCCCTTTCTACAAAACAACCTTTAGAATACCCCCCAAAACCCTTTTTTGTTTTTTCCATCCCCCCGTAAATTTCACACTAAAACCCAACACAGGTTAGAATACTTTTCCCCTCCAAACAAAAAATTTAATACTATTCCACAAAACACAGGTTAAATATATTCACACAAAAACCAGAAAAACTATTCACACTACAACCAAAAGGTTAGAATACTATTCCACTAAACACGGTTTTAAATAATTCACACTACAACAAAATTTTAAATCTATTCACCTCCAAAAAAAAGGTTAAAAACTTTCAACTCCAACAAACACGGGTTAAAAACTATTCACAAAACAACCAACACGTTAGAAAATTTTCCCAACAAAAACACATTAAAATACTATTCACACTACAACAAAAGGTAAATAAATTCACACTCAAAAAACACGGTTAGAATACTTTCCACACAAAAAAACACGGGTTGAATACTTTCAACAAAACACAAAAGGTGAATATTTTAAAAACCACAACCAACACATTTAGAATATTTTCCCCACAAAAAAGTTTAAATATTTTCACCTAAAAAACCCGTTAAAAAATACTTTTCACACTACACACAAAAAGGGTTTAGAATCTTTTCACAAAAACCGGGTTGAATACTATTCACACTACAAAAATTAAAATATTCACACCCCAAACACAACACATTTTAGAAACTTTCAAACTCCAACACAAAACAGTTAAATACTTTTAAAATAAAAACAAAACACAGTTGAAAATATTCACCCCAACAACAAGTTAGAATACTTTTCCCACCCCCTAAACACAAAAACAAATTAAGTTATTTTCACACTACAACACAACACAGGTTAAAAACTATTCAACAAAACACAACAAGGTTTAAATAATTAAACCCTAAACACAGATTTGAATACTTTTCACACTAAAAACCCAGGTTAAATATATTCACACTAAAAAACCAACACAGTTAAAACTTTCACACTCAAAAACACAACAGGTTAAAATTTTCCCTCAACCACCGGTTAGAATACTATTCAACTCAAACCAAAAAAAGTAAATCATTACATACAAAAACCCAAACACGGTTAAATACTATTCACCCACAACAAAAAACCGGGTTAAATACTTCACACTAAAAACACATTTTAATATATTCAACAAAAAACACAGGTTAAAACTATTCACACAAAACCCCACACGTTAAATACTTTTCACTCCACAACACAACACAAAAAAACATTCACACTACAACCACACAATTAGAATCTTTCCACTACAACACAACACGGGTTAAATAATTCCATAAAAAACGGTTTAAAATATTTTCCCACAACCCCAATACAGATAAATACTTTCCACTAAACCCAAAACCGGGTTAGAATACTATTCCACTCAACCCAAAACACGGGTTGAATACTATTACACTACAACAAAATTAGAAACATTCACACTACAAAAAACAACGGGTTAGAATACTATTCCCAAAAAACACAAAAATAGAAACTATTCACACTACAACAAACACAGTTAAATATTATTCAACTACAACAAAAACCAGGTTAGAAAATTCCCCAAAAAAACCGGGTTAAAATACTATCACCTCAAAACAGATTAGAATACTATTCACACTCCAACCAACACATTTTAGAATACTATTCCCTACCCCAACAGTAAAATCTATTCACATAAAACACAAAATTTAGAATTATTCACACTAAAAACACAGTTTGAAATTTCACCTAAACAAACGTAAATACTATTCACCTACAACACAAACAAGAATATTATTCACAAACAACACAATTGAAACTATTCCACACAAACACCCACCAGTTGAATACTTTTCACACCCAACACAACACAGGTTAAATAATTCCACAAACAACACAAACAGATAAAACTATTCACACTAAACACAACACGTTAAAAATATTAAACCCAAAACACGGGGTTTAAACATTCACATACAACACAGGAGAATAATTCACACTACAAAAAAACC